CCTAAATTTTGACACATATGGATCTCATTTAGATTTAGGTGATAAGGAAAAAAAAAGGAAAAAGGAATTGGGCAAAAGATATGAAAAAAAAAAGGAGTATTCCCTATACGGTGAACACCAATTGTTCATTTACTGGGCAGTAGATCTAGACATTCAAAAACTCAAATTTCAAATTTTAAATTATTAATTTCAAAAAAAAATATAAATGCAAAATTCCAAACAAAAAATCTTACTAACTACGTATCTTGTAGCTCAGCTTGTGACGTAGCTATAAGCGTGATGGCTCATAGAAGTAATTCCCTGATATTTTATATCTCAAGAAGTGGGTCAACCAATCCTAATTCTACTTGTATGTACCATGTCAATCCAGTAGAAATAAGAACCAAGTGCGGCAGCTTTCATGAATTAAAAATACCAAATGACCCCCACTAGGGGTGGCAACAAGTTGGGTCTGGGTTCAACCGGGCCTGGACCTGAAACCGGCCTGAAACCATTTACAGGACCAAACCAGAACCCAGACATGGACTTGGCCCCAGACCTGAATGGACCGGATTTGATTCAATAAATATAAAAATATTATATTAAATATATACATGTATTTATTAAATATTATAACTAAAATGATATAGTTACATGAATTAAAAATACCAAATGGCTCCCATTAGGGGTGGCAACAAGTTGGGTCTGGGTCCAACCGGGCCTGGACCTGAAACTGGCTTGAAACCATTTACAGGACCAAACCAGAACCCAGACATGGACTTGGCCCCAGACCTTAATGTACCGGATTTGATTCAATAAATATAAAAATATTATATTAAATATATACATGTATTTATTAAATATTATAACTAAAATGATATAGTTATATTTACTTAAATATTATATATTAAATATCATTTAAAATTAACATTGTTAAGGTTGGGACTGGGTCCAAGTCTGGGTTGGGCCTGTACGAACCCATACCAAACCCGAATATTGTTCACGTCCAAGATTTGGACCCGGACCCAGACCCAGACCCGATCAGCTGGGTCCAATTTTTTGACCCATACCTAGATCCAAATCGAGTCCGGTCGTTAGGTCCCAGGTTGGGTCTGGTTCTGTTGCCACCCCTAGCCCCACTAACTATTTTCTAACGGTGTGGTTTGCATAGAGTCAAGGTTCTGAACAATCAAAGTAAAGTTCACCTTCAAATAGTGTCAAGAAATATGGTTTCAATACTGTAAATCTTTGTGAAAGCCTTAAAACATATTTTCATCTCTAATTATAAAATTTAAAGTTTTAAAATAGTAGAGATTAAGCAGATCTATGAAAATTTGAAAATTTTGAAAATTGACGGTAAAAAATTGCATTACAAGATGCATTGTTTCCAAAACTTGAACTCCATTTTTTCTCATGTCTATGCCTTTTGATATCGAGATGATCAAATTGAGGATACTTGGGCATCAAAACAACCTCTTCTAGTGAAAATTTTGAAGTGGGCTCATATTTGATTGTTTAGAGCCTTGGCTCTATATAAACTTTATGCTTTTGTTCACAATATCCAAGAGGTATTGAGATATGGAAAAAGTTTATATAGAGCCGAGACTCTAAACAATCAAATTTGAGCCCACCTAAAAAATTTTCCTATAAGAGGTTGTTTTGATTCCCATATATCTTCAAATTGATCATCTCGACATCAAGATGTATGGACATGGGAAAAAAATAGATTACAAGTTTTGGAAATAGTGTATTTGTAACGCATTTTTTGACCGTCAATTTTCAAGATTTTAAAGTTTGAATATATATGTCGATCTACGATATTTTTGAAGCTTTTAAACTTTATAAATAAATATGAAATATATTTTAAGGCTATTACAAAGATTTTCAATATTGAAATCTAATTTCTCGACATTATTTGAAGGTATGCTCTAATTTAATTGTTTAGAGTGTAGGCTCTATACAAACCGCACCCAAGAGATATTCACCCAAAAAATAAATAAATTCAAGAGGCATTTATACCTCAATTTGTAAACAGCCCATTTTGAAAAATTGGTAAATTCAATGGTTTTTTTAAACCCAAGACAACCTTAGGACCATACTATCTCAGTGAACCCCCAGACCATAGACCACATACTCCGTGATCCCTATCTTATGATCTAGAATGCTGCATGATCACTGTTTTAGTAACAAATTAAATAAAAATAGCAAAACAACTTATTTTTACCTTATTTTTGGCAGCCAATAACACAAAAACGCGTGAATCACCCAAGCATCCAAAACTACTAATTTTGATCAGATTTGAACTCCCTTTGACCCCCAAAATGGGAATTTGGCTGCTGGAAATTGATATATATCCATTCTGATACGATTTGGGCCTCTATATAAGCATATTTTGTGACTCATTTAGGGCTGGAATTTGAGAGACAGAGCAAGCTCAATAATAAAATTACAAAAAAACCTAGATCTAGATAAGCAACCTCAAGCTTTAGCCCCTCCTAAAACCAACTTTTAGCCTAGATCAGCAAAACTTTTAGTTCAACCAAGTTAAGGTTTGGTCAAGTTTGAGGAGATAACAACATAGGACATATGTACACAACCGTAGTTCTAATACGGGCTAAGCCTCGAAGTCTTAGATGCCCTGGGCCAACAGGTATGGCCAGGTATTTTCCTCATCATCTATTTTTTTTTATTTGGTTAGATATATGATTTTATTCATTTTTTTATTCAATCTTTTGTGTTTTTTGGATCGACTACCACTAATATGATAGCGGATCTATTAATTTTTAATAAATCTGACTGCATATCATAATTTGATTTTTCTCCTTCTCTATCAGTTTGTGATACGGATTTGAGAGATTTTTTTATGTAGATCACTTCAATTTGCATCATAAACACAAATATCAAACATATTTGAGTCCCAAAAGAAAAGAAAAAAATAAAAAATAAAAATAGACGTCACTTAACACACCCAAGTACCTAAGTAAAAGATGAGCAGTGCCCCACTGTTCTTCTAAACTAAGAAGGCAGAGAGTACAAGAGGTTCTCTTACAACCCATCTCTCTCTCGCTCAAATCTATTACTCTATCCCTCAAATCTAGAACCCTATCTGATGAGAGAGAGAGGTCCCCGTTGCTCGAGTTAAGCTGGATTGTCTAGGACCACCACATGGGTGTAACGTGGTCCACGGTCACATTAATCATGCCTTTTTCACATTAAACCTCTCTCTAGAAATGGAAGGCCGTCGGCATTTATATGGGGAAGAAGTTTATATGGTGTCAAGGCTCTAAACAATCAAATTAAATCTCTTTTAAAAAATCTAACTAAAAGAGAGTGGTTTTGATGCTCAAATGTTTTCAATTTGACTATCTAGACATCAAGATGCATGACATGAAAAAAGAATGGATATCAAGTTTTGAAAATAATGCATATTGTAAAGCATTTTTAGGCCGTCAATTTTCAAGATTTTCATAGATATGTTCGATTTACACTATATTTTTAGCTTAAAAATTTATAATTAAAGATAAAAATATATTTTAAAGCTACCACAAAGATTTATAGTATTGAAAAAATATTTTTCAAAACTATTCATAGAGACGCTGTACTTTGATTGTTTGGAGCCTCACCCGTCTACAAACTTTTGTCTTTAAATATTTTAGAAGAAATAGATAAGAAACTGGAAAAAATCCATTAAGTTAGTGCTTTTCCCCGGTCCTCGTGCACCTCCCGGGAGGTACAGGATGATATGATACATGCCGAAAGTGGAGAAGCGGAATGAGAGAGAGAGAGAGAAAGACGTGGGTTGGGGGAGAGAGAAAATGAGTTTAGAGAGAGAAAGAATGAGGCAGTGTACAGCGTTGCAGTGCGGAAGGTTCGGTGACAAGGACGGCACATTCCCCCCCTCTCTCTCTCTCTCTCTCTCTCTCTCACTTCCCAATTCAAATCAAAAGGGTCGTGGTCTAAAAGCTTCGCTGACCGCGACGGCGCCGCTTCCATTATTTATTTATGGCTTCACATGAATCGCATCCCTCTCGCCCGACACATCACCCAAGCCCCACGAAGCTAGCATTTATGCGATATTACCATTCCACCCCTCTCAGGCCTTTTTTTTTTTCCAATTTTTAATAGAAAAAGTTTAAACAACCAAATTTTAGGCCATTCAAAAATTTATAAAAGAGGTTATTTTTACGTCTAAATATCTTCAAATTGATTATCTCAACGTCAAGATACATAAATATAAAAAAAAAAATTCAAATTTTAAAAATAGCTCCTCTTGTTGGGACAGCCAATTTTCAAGACTGTCTAAATAAAATGGGCACCGGCTCTCCGATAGGCAGTGCCCCTACACTAACCTTGGCTTAACCCTCTAGCCAAAGTTTGTGGCTCAAGCACTACCTTTTCAAGGACATGCAGGACCACGGCTGGAAATTTTATTACGAAACAAATGGGAAATGAGATGTGTTTGTTTATTTCTCATAGAAAATCGGGATTTTATAGTACTGAAAATTCGGCTGTACAATTGTATATGATGGATAAGTTTTTGTCCATTTCAACATTGCCTAAAACGCCCCTAATTACTGAATAATTAAGTTGACTAAATGAACCCCACTAATAATTCAGAACAAGTCTATCCCTTCCAATAATTAAAATAGATGCAAGCGAGGAGCCATCACCATCCACTAGACATCATCACACACGAGCATGTAATATCAATGGTGCAGATGTCATGCTGATGTCCGCATTTTAATAAGATCCATTGTAACCAAGGGCTGGCAACTTGCCTAGCCCTGGAACAGGTTTAAATTGGTCATTTCTCGGGCCTCGACCCTAACAAGGTGCTTCGGAACACTTGGTTGGGCCGCATGGCCCAAAATGTTTTTAGATCCTCTCCTTGAGTTAGAAATTAAAAATGTAACATGGAGGGTATCGTCATTTGAGGAAAAGAAAAGAAGTAGTATGGTAATTCTGATGTCTCCCCCGCGCACGAGCTGAACCTTAGATAAAGAGTGGACAGCGAGGAGGCCGTCGTCTAGGAAATAATAGGTTGCAGTTGCAGTTGCAGCATTTAATGAAGGCATGGAAGCCATAGATTTTCAGAATCTCTTCTTTTTTATTGTTTCTGACTCTTAATACTCTACCTTCATTCACCTCTCTCTCACTCTCTCTCTAACAACCCTTTATTAGGAAGAGAAGAACGAGAAGAAGAGCTCTCACTCTCTAGAATTAGAGCCCACTCTCTAGAACACTACCATCTCTCTCTTTCTATAATAGCTCAACAATGGTTTGGGTGGTTTTGGGCGCGTGGTTCGCAGTGATTTTTTATTCTTGGTGGTGGTGGGGGACGAGAAGGGGTCCAAAAAACGTGCCCAAAGGCTCTCTTGGATGGCCTTTCATAGGAGAAACCCTAGACTTCATGTCTTGGGGTTACACAGCAAAGCCAGAGGCTTTCATGGAGAAGCGCAGCTCACTGTAAGTCCCAACCTCTTTCGGTTTCTCTCTCTTTTCGACGTTTTGAAATCTTAATCCACATGCAAGTCTTTCTCTCTCTACTTTTTGCTCTGAATCTCATTTGTTTTTTATTTTATTTTCGCGCTGAATATTGAATCTCAAATATTTCTCCTCTCCCTACTGTCTCAGAGGCACGGACAAATGGTTCACAGTTGCATGTCTTTCACCGTTTATGCAACTCACTCTCTCTCTCTCTCTGTAATTTTTGCTATGACTCTCTCCTTTTGATGGGAAGATTTTGAGGATCGCCAATGAATTGCATGCACATAAACCGACGCATATATGCATGAACCACTGTGATTTCGAGTAACACGTCGATTCTCTTTCAAAAGATGGCTCCTTCCTCTTTCGATATCAGCTTCAATCAGTTAATCGAGATCGTAATGTTTATGTTTTTCTCTCTACTTTATGGGTTGCAAATTACAAGTAATACTTTCTCTCTCTACTTTCTAGTTGCTTCTTGCGAGGCTGGTTTGTTTACAACTAAGAGACTGAATTTGCTTTTGCTGATCGGTTGGCCACCCGAACCAGTTGGTGGCAATCTTGCTTAATTGGGCCATCACCACTCTGTCTGTGGGGTGCCATAATTAAATAATATGGGTGCCCAAAGCAGTCCTATGTGATAAATAATGAAGAAATATAGTGATAAATAATGAAGAAATATATATATATAGCAGCCGACAATTTTAGGAAAGAAGGTTAGGGAGATTATGTGAAAATTTCGCAAGTGCCCCTCTTACGAATATATTCCATGTGAGTATATTCTAATTTTGGTAACTTATAAATGGGAAATTTTATCAAAATAACTAACAGATAAAAAACTGTTTAATATTTTGCCAGCGTCTTTTGATTTAATTTCAAGACAAATAAAATTTGTGTAAGAATTATATAATCTTAACCATAGATTAACTAGACAAATATGAATTATGATTTTGATGAAAATGGTTGTACGAAACATAGGCAGATTTATCAAAATATAACTAATGGATGGACTATCTGGCATTTAACCCATTTCTTTTGATTCAATGGTTGAGAAAGTGTTAAACCGTAGATTGTTGAAATTATGGGTGCATTTTGATGAATTGTTTTCTTTTCCCTTCTCGTCGACATTTTCCTTTAATTTCACCTTTTGAAAATAGTAAGGCATATTTGGACAGTCTTTTTTCAAGTTTTCATAGATACGTACGATCGACATTATTTTTTAAACTGTAAATTTTAAATATGAAAATATATTTTAAGGCTATCACGAAGATTTTCAATATTAAAACTACATTTCTCGACATTATTCGAAGATGCAGTATACTTTGATCGTTTAGAGCCTCGGTTTTATGCAAACCGCCGAGAGTGTAAGAGAGAAAAAGAATAGGTTAGAGGAAGAAAGGGCATGAGAGAGAGAAATCAAAGGATAGGTTAGAGAAAAAAGGGGCAAAGTAAGGGTAACGTATCTCTGAAGAGAGAGAGAGCGCAATCAAAGGTAGGTAAGTTAGCTTGAGAGAGAGATTAAAGTTTTTATTTCAAGGATAACATGCGTTGTGACAAATAATTCACTGTGATCTTATCATTTGGAGTCGGTCACGGATCACGTTAGCACTCGGAAAAGGAAAGAGTCAGTCACGGACAATACGAGTGACAAACAAACCTAATTAATAATGGTTACGACTTTAGAAAGAGAGATCAATCATGGGGTGATTTGAGTGAGAGAGAGAGAGAGAGATTCAACATCGCATATAGTGTACAATGAAAGATTTAACATAACATCGAGTACAATAATTGACACTAATCTTATGTTAGAGAGAGAGCATACGGTGGATGTATAATTGAGATTGAGACTAGTGATTTGAAAAACGGAGTGTCACATGAAATCACCCAATCCGACTTGGGTATCAGTCATCCAGTTTCAGCTCTGTATGTATATTAAAAAAATGGCCGAGTCTCGAAGGGAACTTGAGGTTTCACATGATAAAACGGTGATTCGGATCGCCGATTTATTGATTTAGATGGGTTTTTGGTCGGTTCACTGTTTTTCACGTGTTTGTTTTTTATGTTCATTATTTTTTCTGTACAGTAAAATGGTGATCTGGCCGCCGATTCACCCATCTAGATGGGTTTTTGGGGTGATTGATCTCGGTCACCAATCTGTTTTTAAATCACTTATTGAGACTGATGTTATGATATGGAGTGAGTGAAAATTTGGGATATGAAATTGCAGATATGGTAAAGTATTCAAGACGCACGTGTTTGGACGTGCTACAATCGTGTCCACGGATGCGGAGGTGAGCAAAAGTGTGCTCCAAAACGATGGTCGCATATTCGTCCCGTATTACCCGAAGTCCCTGACCATGCTCATGGGTGACCCTTCCATACTCCTCATCAACGGTGCTCCTCATCGTAAGCTCCACGCCCTCCTCTCCTCTTTCTTCAAATCTCCCTCCCTCAAAGCCCAGGTCGCACGTGACATGGAGCACCACCTCCACCTCTCTATGCCATCCTGGTCCCAACGCTGCTCCCCCCTTCGCATTCAAGACCAGGCCAAGAGCGTACGTCTCTCTCTCTCTCTCTCTTTTTTTGGAAGAGTCTCTCTCTCTCAATTACACCTTTTTAATCTCTTGTATATATCTTGCTGTCTCTCACGTGGATAGTGACTTTTATGATCTCTCTCTGTTTTTTAAAGTTTTAAAGACCTTATATTTTTAGGAAAAAGTTCGTATAACGCACCCAACCTCATGCTATGGAACTGAGGTGCACCTCGAAAAGCCGTAGACAAAAAAGTGGTTGCAAAATTTAAAAAACTAGTAATTAATTATCTCTATCTCAACTCTTAGATATATAGATATATAAAAGAGATTCAAGTCTTAAAAATTATGTATCTTGTAATACATAATTTGGACGGTTTGTTTTCAAGATTTGAAAGTGTTTATTGATGTGTTCAACTTGCATCAATTTGGAAGATTTAATTTTTATAATCAGGGGGTGAAAATTTTTATGATAGCATAAGAGTTTTCAACATTGGGACATACTATGATTAAACTTATTAAAGCATATGCGGATTTGTATAATAAATTGGGAACAAGAGAATGTGAAAATGATGTCTTCAAACTAGCAAAATTGAGAGAGGAAGTGGATGAATCTAGATCATGTTAAATGCATTAAGCGTGAGGATCAAAGGATATTGGTGAATGATAATGAGGTCAACGAAAGGTTGTGATTGTATTTTATAACATTGTTAAATGACAACCACTATAGGAGCACAGCTTTATGATTAACCTTTGACATAAATGATGTTGGAGGCTATAGATACATTCGTAGGATTAGAGTATCTGAAGTGAAAGAAGCTTTGAGTTAGATAAACATGAGAAAGGCTTTAGGACCAGTTGGTGTCCCAATAGAGGTTTGGAAGAGTTTGGGTGAGATTAATATATTCTAGTTGAACAAGCTATTTAACAAGATTTTGAGAACAAAGAAAATGCTATGCAAATGGATAAAAAAAAAATATTGTGGTACCTATTTATAAGAACAAATAAGACATACACAATTGTACGAACTACAGAAGAATTAATTTATAAGCCACACTAAGAAGTTGTGGGAGAGTGATTGGGCAATGACTACGACATGAAATGAGTCTGTCAAAAAATCAATTTGATCTTATGCCAAGGAGGTCAACAACGGTGTTTAGGTGAAAGATAAAAAAACCTCTACATGACCTTTATTAATTTAGAGAAATCATACGATAGGATACCTAGAAAGTTAATTTGATGGCTGTTGGAAAAGAAAAAAGTCTCTGGAGGATCTATTGACTCGGTGAGAGATATGTACGAGCGAGCGCTAATTAATGTGAGGAACTAATAAAGAGACAAGTGAGTTTTCTGTGGTAGTAGGCCTACATCAGGGGTCAGCTTTGAGTCCGTGTCTCCTCCTTGTTTCGTTATGGATTCCATGCATTGACACGTTGAGTAACGTGGTATATATTGTTGGTGGACGATATAGCTTTGATTGATGAGGCTAGAGATGGCATCAATATAAAGTTAAAGCTTAGGGGAAATGCCCTAGCATTTAAAGGTTTTAAAGTTAGTCGGACTAAGAATATATGGAATGCGAGTTCAGTGGTGATAGGAGTGGAAACGATGAATTAATAAAGATCGATGGTCACCTAAAACATGTTATTTTTAATATCTTAGGCCAATAATCCATGAGAATGAGAGATCGAGGAATATGTCACACATAAAATTAGAGCAGGACGGACGGAGTTGAGATCTGCTTCCAAAATCTTATATGTCATGGTATGCCAATGAAACTGAAGAGGACGTTTGATAAGACAACTATACGGATTAGCAATGCTCTATGGGACGGATGTTTGGCGGCCAAGAAACAATATATCCATAGAATAATAGTAGTTGAGATGATGATGTTGAGAAGGATAAGTGGCAAAAAAAAGAAGATAGAGTTCCGACATGAATATATCATAAGGAACTTAGGCCTGGCTCCTATACATGAGGAAAAGTGGACTTAGATGTTCTAGCCGAGTCCCGCATCTACCTAGAACATCACTGGTTAAGTGGGACGATTTGGTTCAAATGGAAGGTTCCAAAAGGGCAAAGGAAAGGCCTAAAAGGATGTAGATGGAATCAGTGATGAGAGATGTGGAGACTTATGGTTTAATTGAGGGAATGGCTATTGGCAAAATAGAATGGAAAAATAAGATTTGTATAGCCAACCCCAAAGAACTGAGATAAGGAGTACATGATGATGCTGGCGATATAGATTGAGATCGAGATGAACAATTAGATGATATTCTCATACATGAAACAAAAATTTTCGATTGATTTTTTAGGTGGGGCTTACTCTTATGGTACACCATGTGGGCATCCACCATCCCTTCTCGATGAATGACGGTAGAGATAAATCACACTGAGGCAAATGTATGTAAATACTTGTTTATCAAAAAAAAAAAACCCATAAATACTCGTTCAGGGAAACTACATTTTCATTTGGTATATGATGGTGATCATAGCATAACAAGTAGCTGTGAGTATATTCTTTGGGAGCGACAGATTCCTCTTGATTTTCGCTCATATTTGGAGGATGAAAATCCTCAGAGGGCTTCCAAGAAGAATAAGAAGAGTACGAAATAGTTTGAATTTTCTATTTATTTTTTGAGGCTATTTCAGATGTTTTATTTGTTTATTTCATTGTTGGACCAGTTAGGGACTTTTTAGATATTTTAAATATAGGTAAGGAGTTCAGTTTCAAGTCATACTTAAGTAAGGACCTTTTGATCAAAAGTTAATTGTATGGATAAATATTATCTAAAACAATAGTTTTCTAATATAAATAAGGGCATGGAACGGTTGAGGAGGCACTCACGTAAAAGATGCCTCAGGCTTGAGGCTTAGGTGGGAGAAAGCCTTATGGTTTTTCAAAAATTGCTTGTGTCAAAATATCTCCATAGACCTTATTTTCAACTTTCATGTCTTCCCAAACCTAAAATTTTTAAACCTATCTTCTAACCCCCTAAATAACTTTGTCTATTTTTATTCCAACTTTTTACCCAAAATTTTTTTAAAGACATCTTTTTTTGACTCTCACTCTCTCACTTGTTTCAATCTCTCTCCACAAATCTTCCCAAGCCCTCTCTATAAGCTGGTAATAAGTCATAGAAATTGGGGTTGAAGCGACATGCACACGGAAGAAAGTCGCTGGATTTCTATAAATGAACTTCAATGTGGAATTAAGGGAGAGCATTTCAGTGGGTACTCCTATTGAGTCTGTTCCTTCTCTCTCTCTCTCTCTACCATTCAGTTCCATTTCCTTCTCTCTCTACTGTTTTGAAACTCTCTCTCTACTTTCTCTCTATATTGAAATGAGGCCTAATAGTAGCATTAATACCACGGCTGCTTCAGCAGTGCATTCTCCATGGCACTCTCTTGTGCCTTATTTGTTTGGGGGCCTTCCTGCTATACTTGGCCTTATAGCATTTGCTCTCGTGATATTGGCCTGCTCATATTGGAAGCTCTCTCGTTATTTTGAGAGTGGGGAGTTAGATTTAGCAAAGAACAATGGGAAAAAGCAGGGAAAACCCATCAAGGGTTTACCAGATTTGGACTAGGCCGGCGTTCTTGGGTGGAGAGAGAGAGATGGAGGGGATGGAAAAAACGGAAAAGAGAGATAAAGAATTGGGGGAGATAAAGAGAGAGAGAGGTGTTTGGGAGGTTGAGAGAAAGGGAATCATTTCAAGAGAGAGAGAGGGGTTTAAAAAAATAATGCCTTTTTTAAAATTGTGTGGGCCAAAAAAATTAGAAAAAAATGAATAAAATATGTTTAGAGGGTTAGGAAATATAATACAGTGAATTTCTATGTAGTAAGATAGGTTGTGCAATCTTAGGTCAATGGAGAAATGAAAGTTGAAAATAGGGTCTATAGAGATATTTTCCCTATTTTCTATGTTTCTTCAAGTTCTCTACATCAAATTGGTATCAAAACCCACATTATACACATAAGGTATTGTAGCAGTTTTTGGAAGGTACAATAGCAGCTTATGAAAGTTACTATAACATAATACAGACGGTATTGTAGCGAAGGTTTTTTGTGCCCTCGATCAACAACAAAGAGGGAAAGTTATAGTGGAGTCTAGAGTTTGCTGGTTTTGGCAGAAGTTTTGCTATAACAACCTATCTGATTTAAGTAGTTTTTGTTTATTAATTGTCTAGGGTTTGTGATTTCGTCAAACCCATGACAACAAGAAGGGACCGTAGAAGGGTGATTTTTATGGATCCACTCTGAGATCTCAGAGATGAGTGAATTAAGGAACTTGAAAAACAATTTCAGCAGCTCACTGGTATTAGAGGTGATGAAGTCGAGAAAAGTTTTTAGTTGGTGAAGCAGAAGATGACTGAGGCACTCGTGTTGGTTCTTCCAAACTCTGAAAAAGTCTTCGAGTTGGATTGTGATGCTTCGCATGTTGGAATTGGTGCAATGTTGAGCCAAGAAGGTTGCCCTATTACCTTCTTCAGGGAGAAGTTAAATGACACCCACTGACGGTATTCTCTTATGAATGTGGAGTTTTATACTATTATTGAAACCTTGAGGCATTCGTGGCCTTACCAAATTCAAAGGGAATTTATGTTCTCAAATCGTGAAGCATTGAAGTATATTAATGAGCAACATAAATTAAATCATCAACATGCTTGATGGGTCGCTTATTTGCAAGAGTTCATTTTGTTACTCGGCATAAGCTAGGCTCTCAGAATAGAGTGGCAAATACTCTAAGTAGAAGGTTGACTCTATTAACTACCATGACAACTGTTATTACCTGGTTCGATTTTATGAAGCATCTTTATGCAAATGATGATGACTTCAAGGACATATAGGACCAGTGTTGCGATGGAGTCATTGGGGATTTTCTTATTCAAGGTGGATTTCTCTCCAATTGAAACTGCCTTTGTATTTATGCATGTTCCCTTAAAGAAACCCTAATAGCAGAGCTTAATGGGGGAGGTCTTGGTGGACATTTGGTTGAGACAAGACCATAGTATTGGTGGAG